TGGGGCGCCGACAGAAGCTAAGGGGACGGACGAGGCGCGCGCACGGGCCTGCCGCAGGCCGGACGAGGCGCGCGCGGGCTGCCCGGGCCGCGCGCGGGCCTGGCGCAGCCCGTACGGGCCGCGCGCGGGTCCCAGGGGCGCTTCGACGGGCGACGGGGACGTTTCGACGGGCGACGGGGGGCGCTCCGACGGGCGACGGGGGCGCTTCGACGGGCGACGGGGGGGGGGGGGGGGCTTCGACGGGCGACGGGGGGCACTTCGACGGTGGGAAACCGCCGCGCGCCTCGGGGCGCACGGCAGGCAGAAAACCGCCGCGCGCCCCGAGCGCACGGCAGGAAGGAGGCGTCGCGCGACCGAGGCGCGCGACAAGTAGAACAGCAGCGGAAGCATTAGGTGGTGGGCCCACCCACAGGATCGACCCAAGGGGGTCGACCTGCTCTGATAGCATGTCAGAAGTAGTAGGCAAAGTTTAGAAACAGAAAGAGAGGTTTCACTAGCAGCAGTTGAGATACAAATAGCAAACCCTAACTGGGTTGTACTCGCTATAGAGCACCCCACTGCAGGCTAGAGAATATAACATTCTGACACTACACGCATTAATAGAGATCACTCCGAACATTGCCCCACCTCGCCTCATCCCCATGTGTATAATGGGCGAGCCCACCGCCTTCAATCGTTTCATTCTCAAACCAAACGGGAAGCCCTTCGGAATCCATACGCGTGAACACTTCCTCCTATCTAAGCAGGTCCGTGTCGGCCATTTGATCTCTCTTATCTTTCACTCGCTTGGTGTGGTCTCCTTCACACACTTCATCTCACTGTTTCCCATAGCCAACTCCTCCTCTGGACGAAGAGTCTGGCGCGAACTCATCCGTGCCATCCCCAAACCCTGGTGGTCAACCCTTCGCTCCCCCCCTCCCCCCTCGGCAGTCCCTGGGGAGTGGTTCGTCCCTAAAGAAGACTCCGAGACCTCTCCCACTATTGCTTTCCAGGTCACGGCCTTCTCCCCTCCGTCGTCGCTCTCAGTCTCCCTTTACCGTGTCTTGCCCAACCGACTCATCGTCCGACCGTCGATCGGAGATAGCACCTTCCACATAGGTGCCCTCTGTGCGGTACACGTTGTCGGGTCCTGGCTTGCAGGCCCCTTCCATACAGGTGCAGGGCTCGGCGCGCGGCTCGACATCCTCCGGGACGGCTGCCCAAGCGTAGCTGACATTCGTCGCCGGCTCTATGCTCAACTTCCCCTCGACCACGCCGCCCGCTGGATCCACGTCCTCCCCGCTCCTCCTCCCCTCCTCCCCGACCTCTCCCATGTCTTTTTACGGGAGCAACCCAGCCTCCAACGCAACGTCTTGTACCAGTTCTACACTCGCGCTCTCCCTTCGGGTTCACGCTTCAACTTCGCCGCAGACCGTGAGATTTGTTCACTCTGCCTCGCCGCTCCCACGGAGACCATATCCCACATTTTCTACGAGTGCGGGGTGGCCCCCGCGGTGATTTCCGCCCTCTCCTCCGTCGCTCGTCGTCACCTCCACTGCTCTCCTCCTCCTGAGCTCCTGCTCTTCCCGCTCGCCTCCAGAGCTGGCCAGGTGGCCCCTTGGAGCCTTCTGGTTGGGGCATCTACAAAAGCTATTTGGAACGCACGCTGTGAACACAAGTTCCAAGATTCGCCCCCCTCCCGGTTTGAAATCCTCCAGCTCATACTGGCAAAGTTCCTCATTGCTTTCAAAATTTTCTTATGGCGCAGGAAGAAACAATCAGTGAAAAAACAACAACGCTCAGCCGCTCGTATTAAGCTGGCCACTCGACTTCGCTTTCTCGTCTTCGACCACAACGGAACCCCTTCTATCCACCCAGACCTCCGCTCTTCCTGGCTGCTTGGGGACCCTTTCCGCCCCCCCTAGCCCTCCCACCTTTTGTTGAGCATAGAAGAGCTCCCCAGCTGAGCTGGTGGCTATCCTTGGATAGGGGAATAACGTGTTTTCTTTCCTACGTACGCCTCTGGGCTGTTGGTTTGTGTAGACCATATTTCTAGCTACTCTATGCTTTGCTGTACACGGTTACGACCTAATATAACCTTAAGAGCGTGTTACACCTGCCCTAATCTCAAGGATCACGTAGCTAAGATCACCATAACCCCAACCCTAGGATTACGAGTGGCAAAACAACAATTTTTGGTGCACATCACAATCCTTGTTGGTGTACCATCTGCAAATTTGCAATGGTGATCCTCTGCGACCAGGCGACGTCGCCTGAAACGACGCGACAGTCGCGATCGTCGGATATTTTTGTTGACCACGTTGACTGCGTTACTGATCCGAAATCAACCGCTTTATTGGTTCGAACTTCATCAAAAGAATGCTCTGATTAGTCGCGATTTTGTTACAGCAGTTCACGACAACAAAAGTTTCGTCATCAAGGATCACCTTGTCTTTGGTACAAAGATGCAAGGATCACCGAGAGATTGGCAGTCACCACGATCTCCCAAAAAACACCAAGATCGGGTATCACGATCTCTCGTGATTTCGATCCTTCCTCTGTTGGTACATCACCTGACACAGTGATTACTGTACAGTGGTAGGTATGACACTGTTCTGTAAGGATCGCCTACGTGATCCTCAAAATGCAGCAATCTTTGCTTGGGTGTAACACGCTCTAACCTTAACCGATGGGACATGTGGCCCATATTGGACGGAACCAGCACAGTACACTGATCAAATTGTATGTGGTCAAAGCAGACGACGCGGGATATGTATGGCCCTCACCCCCCTGAAACATGGAACAGTATCGAGACACGGCGCAGTCACCCCCACCGTCCTTTGCCACGGCTTCACACTTGATTGGTTGTGTTTGGATTTGAGGGACTCGTTGCCTATCTTCTTACTGCCACGTGGGTTACAACATGGCGCGCCAATTCCAGAGACACGTTGATTCGAAGTTGCCAAGGATTCGTACCTTTTCGGGCTCGACAAGATGCGATGGGCTGAGTGATGGAGAGGAAGACCCGTGCTCCACCCAATGGTATTCGTGGAATTTGCTCACATTGCTTCGAAAGAAATTACCGGATTGATGAGTGCACCACGGACACATCATCCCTGAGTGACCCCGTGGTGCCCGGAAGTTTGTTGAGGCGCACTGGGAGTGCTGGATATATCGACTTCAACCTTGCCATGAAGATAGGAACGCGGTGGCCTTGGGTGGACCAGGACATGTCACCAGGACAATTTCTTGGGAGCTGTCCAAGCTGGAACACAAGCGCGAAGCAGACTTCAGCCAATACATGCTTGCCACGCAAGCGAATGAAAGACAGAAAGCATCCCAGACGAGCCGCGAAGAAAATTCTGGTTCGTTGAACCAGCTTCAGGGCCGGTGGTGTCGCATGGAATGCTCTGCTTCGGCGGGATTCAGCTTTTGCGGCGTGACGCTGCTCAATCCGTGACGTTCGTCCCTCGGTGATTCCGTGTAGGCGAAAGAGGAAGGAGATTGGTTCGGCGGAGATGTACTCTCCGAGCCACACCCCCCTTCCCAAACCAATCCACCGCATCAACATCGGCTGCGAGCGAAACAGTTGCTAGCGGGAATCCCCAACCACCCCACACCACCGCAACCAGTCTTCTTTCCCCACATCCCCAACTTCCCCCGAGTTTCCGAATCAACGGCTCTTCTGCTCCCCCCACCAGCATGCCCTAACTTCTGGGGTCTGGACCCCGGCGACAAGGCGTAACCTCTCCTGAGGTGATTGGGGATTATTGATTGGGCGAAGGGTATCATTGGGCAGCTCCAGACTACTGGGCATAGGTGTCTCAAATCCGATTCTTTCATTTCACCTTGGGGCGTGTCTTCAAGCATGTAGTGGGAGTCCTTTTCATGCCTTGAAGTTACAAGTTTGACTCGAAAGCCTGGTCGTCTTCAATCTGTTGACCTAACTACGGAAGCAACAGAACTTGAGGTATTCCTGGATGGTAGATGGAAGTTTTACAGTATTCGTGCTGGTTATGGTAGGCGATGCTTTCTAAGTGATTCTTTTAGGCAGATGACGTTTTCCCTCTAACATGGAGACACCGCTGCCTCTCCCCTACGATTCTGAAGTACAGTAACCACAGTATTCTCGAGAATTGATTTGCACAACATAGTGGACACCCACGTTAGCAAGAAATGGCCATGGCTGCGACGAGCCACGGCCACGGTAGTCGTCCTCAATCGTTCTGCGAGAAGCCGTAAAGCAAGGGTGATAGGTCGACCCTGCAAGTAGGTCAGGCGTGGAGAGACGCTCACTCGCCAGTATCACGGACCAGCACTGGTGTCCGTCCCAGCCTTTTCACGCTGCTCGCTCCTCCATTGTGAAACGTTCACCTATTTTAAAACGGAAAATTGATTTCTTGCGTCCTTGTCGTCGCGTTCTGCGTCCATGTTAGGGTAGCTGACCAGTCCACCATTCGAGCAGTTCCACCCATTTCCTTGCGAATAGCATCCCTAAATCGGATCTCATTACGTTCGCGATTCATCACATTCACTCTGGCTTGCCCGCGAGCCTTCCGTAGTCGCAGCAGGGAGCAACTAGGCTGCCTGCCATGCATCGAACGGCCCCTCCGAGAGTAATAGCCGTAGCACCACGACCGCTGTCGTCGCAGCAGAACGTAGCGCCTGGCGCACTCCCGTCCAGCAATGCCTCAGCCGCCATCGCGGCTCCCTGTAGCGTCGCCGCCGCTGGCGGCTTCGGCTACGGGTGCGGAAACCTGGGGGTTCCGAGATTCTTTCCGGCCATTACGTACACACCAAATCCCGTTGCTGCAGCCGCTGCAGCAGCCGCAGCTGCAGCCGCTGCAGCAGCAGTAGGCCAGCCAGGACCAGCAGTTCCCGCAGGTGGTTCTTGCGCTGGGAGTGCGGCGTCGAACCATGTAGCCAGTCCCGGCGCGCCCACTACTGCGGCTGCAGGTGCTTGCAGCTTGCGCGGAGCGGCGGCGCTGGTGTCGCGGAGTGGCGTCTGCGCCACGCGCCACATGGCGTCGGAGCAGAAGCGAAGGGCGCGGATTAAGGACAAGTATGCGCTTTGAGTTTCTCACCCTCTAGTGCTTTGTTCGAGAGTCCCTAAGCTTGAAAGTAGCAGGTGAAGAGTCGGTCTTCCAGAGCTCGTCGTCTTTCCTAATGTTTTCAGTAGTTTTTCTCTGTGAACCATCTCGGCCGTAGGCCGTATTTAAGCATGTCCTCCGACTGACTTTCCGTCTGCCGTTTTTCCCCCCCCAACCAGGATGAAGTCTCTGCGCATGCTAGTGCCGCACGTCGAAGGTGCTAATACCGCGGATTTCCTTAACGAGGTTTACGATTACATCGTCACTCTGCGACGTCGCGCAGACCCCCACGATCCAACTGACACCTGTCACCACCCGGTCGGCACCATTCCCTGCCTCGACCTTAACGCGTCAGCCTCTACCGAATCAAAAGAGGGCGACCGCGAAACCAGGCGGTGCTCAATGCCCTCCGTGTGTCCCGCCGCCGCTCCCGCTGCCGTGTCGAAGCCTCGTTCTAGCTCCCCGTCAGACATAGCCAATACCGTCAACACGGCCAATACGGCTCATACGGAACAGGAACAGGAACAGACGCCTATCAAGCTCTCCGCGCGCGAAGCGATTCCGCAAGTCCAGGCAGGTTCGGACGCTTCGGCGCGCAAAGTAGCCAGCGGCGCTAAGTGCGAGACTGGAAATACGTCCTCCCGGGGCGTGAGCAGCGGCGCGGAGGAGGTGGCTTGGAGCCGATGCGGGCTGAAGCGCGCCCGCGATTGCCGTAGCGACGAGGAGGGCGAAGTGCAGTCGGACGAACAGAGCAAGTCGGACCCCGCGCGCGCAGATGTTCTCGAGCAGTGGCAGCAGCAGCAGCAGCAGCAGCAGCCACAGGACTCCCCGCAGAAACAGGAGTGTTCGGCGGAGTGCAGGCGGGTTGATGACGTAGAGGAGGATGTAGATGAGGAAGGGGAGGACGAGGAGGAGGAGGATGAGGGGGAAATAGAGACGGAGGAGGAGGAAGAGAGGGAGGAGAGCGAGGAGAGGGATGAGAGGGGGAAAACGGATATGGACGAGCGTCAGGAGGGAGAAGAAGAGGGCGAGCGGCAGAGCCAGCAGATGGCGGCGGCTTTTTCCGGCTCGTCCGAGCGCCGAGAGCAGGGCTCAAGAGAAAGCCGACGCGTTACGGTGGATGGGACGGTTGGTGGGGAGACTGGCGGAGACACTCGCGCGGCGGAAGCAGCGACGTCGAAGCAGCCTCTGCGGAGTACTCTTCGTTCTCTTCGCGGTGAAAACGCGGCAGCGGCGCACGGTGCTCCCGCCGCCCCAACCTCCTCTGCGGACCTTCCAGTGTCAGGGAAACAGGAATCGGCGGGAGGCGGTAGTGAGAGTCAGAGTGTGGATGCTGCTGCTGTTGCTGCTGATGTTGCTACTGGTGGTGGTGGAGATTCGGATGAGGCGGTTGTTGTTCGCCGACCGCTCGCGAAACAGGCGGAACAGCAGTCGCACGATTCTCCTCCGGTTCAGACGCCGCCGCAGCAGCATCAGCAGCAGCAGGAACAGCAGGAAGAGCAGGAGCAGCAGCCGCCGGTAACAGCGAGTGGCGGTGTGAAGAACGAAGAGCGTAAGCTGCTTACTCCAAAGGCTGCGTCGAAGCCAGGTCTAGGCGCAACCCAGCAGCACTTGCAGAAGCCAACCTCACCGTCTGTCTCGCCACCCATGGTCACCATTGGTCGCTCCTTCCAGCGCTCCGCCTTCTCCCCCGCCACTAGCGGAGCATTTTCTCCGCCTGTTGTCGTCCCCGCGCCTCACTTGGTGCCGTCTCCGCTCCATCCGGCTCCGCGCGTCCTTCCTTTCACCGTCCCTCCCGCACCTTCCGCCACCCCCGCCACTGCCGCCGCCGCAGCCGCCGCCGCTGCGGCTGCTGCCGTCGCAGTCTCTGGTGCCTGCAGCTCTCTCCCCCCGCCGAGGCACCACTCTCCGCCCATCCTGTCTCCGCTCCTTCCCGCCCCGCGACGCCTTGCGCCCGCGCCGCCCGCGCTGGCGGGGATGTCCAGTGCTGCGCTCTCCGCCGCGCTTTCCAAGCCCCGCCCCATTGCGCCGAATAACAAAGATCGGGCGGACGCGGGGAGTGTTGCGCCCTCCGCGCGCATGTATGCGCCAGTGCCGTGTGGCGGGCAGAAGGTGCAGGCTGGTGGTGGTGGTGGTGGTGATACGCACTGCCCGACCCAGAAACACAGGTATCTACCACAGGCGCGAGCACTGGTCGCTACCCTGCTCATTGTGTCGCTCTTCTCTCCTGCCCGCCTTAGCTCGTGTTCACTCTTTTCTTGTTGTAGTGAAACTTGTTGACTCCATTTAATGACATGCGGCCATCCCACTCACCGACACGCTGCTGTGCTCTTCGTCCCACTCTCCTGTCTCTCTTCCCCCTTTTCCCCACCATAAAGCCTCCTCACGTCCAACCAAGCTATCCAGGCGCCTCAAGTATTGTCTCCCGCCTCTCGCCCTCCTTGCCCCATCCCAGGAAGCCCCGTGAAATCCAGCCAGCGCCGCCGTCCCACGCCCGCCCGCGCTCCTACGCCCCCATGAAGCCGCTACAGAATCTCCAGATGAAGCTACCCCTCCCGCCTGCCGTCCCTGTGCCTGTGCCCGTGCCCGTGGCCATGCTGCCCCCTCCGTCCCACCTGCATGCGAGTCCCATGGCGGCTGCTGCAGTGGCGGCCGCGGATGCAGCAGCAGCCGCGCAGCAGTGGGGGGTGATGGCGGCTGTGGCGCAGGCAGCCGCGCAGGCGCAGCAGGCGCATGCCATGGCCTCCGCTGCTGCTGCCTCCGCAGCCCAGCAGCAGCAGCAGCAGCAGCCGCAACAGCAGCAGGGCGAGGCAAAAGCTTCTACCACGGCTATCCAGCAGCAGCAGCACCAGCAGAACCAGCAGCAGCAGAAGAAGCTGCATGTGGAGGGAGGGGGCGGTGGTTGCAGCGGAGGCATGGTTCCCATAGCACCAGCGCTGCATGCCCTGCGCGCGCAGCAGGCGAAGCTGCACACATCGTTCCCTGGCCGCATGGGGGGACTCACGGCAGCGTGCCCTGCACCTCCCGCCGCCTCGCCTGCTTCTGCTCTTCCTCCTGGCAAGCGCCGTCGCCGCTCTGCTAGCAGCACAGCAGAACCAGCCACTCGCACCACCTCACAGGTGAGACACGCCACGCTGTGTGGTGAAAACGCCATGGGGATGCGTGTGTGTGGCGGCTATATGATTGTTTGAGACACATGGCACCCATTGTTTGACAGCCGGTCCCTGTTCAATGGACCCCCGTTGTCCTTTTCCTTACCCTCTCTCCCGTTCCTCCCTCTGTCCCTCCCACCCGTCCCCCCCCTCTCTTCCCTTTCGTCCTCCACTCCTTGCTTGCCTTATGGTGCTTCTGTGTGTGTGCTCTCTCCTGGCAGATGGTGTTCCGGCCGATTGCCATGAAGCCGCGTCCGTAAACCCTGCCAACGTGTTACACTGCCATGCGTAACATTGGCGGTGTGTCAACGGTGTCCTGCCGTTACTGCTGCGCGCTGCACAGCAGGACGAGCCTGCATCATCACCCAGTGTGCTGCCTCCACGCATGCAACCCCGCACACACGCACACCACACGCTCACTGCCTGTGTCTGTGTGTGTGTGTGTGTGCGCAAGCATCTGGTGGCCAGCCACTCAATTTTGTTCTTAGGCCCTCCCTCTCCACCCTTCCCGCTCCTTCTCCTCCCCCCTCTTCCCCTCCTCCCTTTCCCTGCACATTATCTACTCGTCTACCTCCTCGCCCTTGTCACTATTATATCCTTACTATTCCTCTCTGTCTTACGTACAGCCACTCCCACTACCTGAGTGCCTTCCTCACACGGACTGCTGAGTGAGAGCATCAGCTGCGCACCCTCCTCTGTCCCCAATCAGCCCGGTCATTTTTCCGCGGGTTCTCACTCCCTCTCAGCCCCAAATTTTGTCCCTTGGGTGCCTGGGTTGGTTTGAGGCATTTTTCCAAGCCGCAAGGACCGTGTGGTGAGGGGCACGATGTCCCCTCTCCTCTGTATCCCCGTTCTACTCACCGCCTGCGGTACCTTTCGTCTGCTGCTGCGCCTGCTGCTGCTTCCACTGCTGCAAGCAAGTGATCCACGTGGAGATGGGATCATGGGACTTCCTCTCCATTCCTCAGTACTCCTCGCCACTCCTCCCCACTTCTTTCTGATCTTCTTCTGCCTTGTGCATTCAAGCTGCAAGCCAGTCCTCAGCTGGGCAGTCTACAAGGCTCGGTTGTAGATGAGCACATTTTTGTTCCTATTGCAGCATTCTTATAGGAGTGTAGGTTTATACTTGTGTACTGTACCCGTATTTTTGAGATATCTTAAATTCACTTTCTATGGTTTCGTGTGCTTTGTCTTGTCCAGCGGTAATTCTTCATTGTATTTCATAAGCAAGGCAGGTGTGCAGTTGGGCAGCTTACAAAGTGTACTGCTGTGGATGATGCTTTCTTACAAGGGAAAATATGTCAATGGTAACAAACATGGGGCACTGTAACGCGTACGATAACGATTTCAACGCGTTTGGTAACTCGCTTAACGCGTTTGGTAACTTGCTTAACACGTTTAGTCACTCGCTTAACACATTTGGTAACTCTACACTAGCAGCCCATCACGCGAATGGTAACTAAATGAAATTCCCGCCGAAATGAGCCTGAAAAAAAGAAATTTATCGAGTTGGAAAGCTTTTACGCACAGTATTATCCATTTGAACAAGTCCCGCCGCGAATTTGAAGGACCCCGTTTGTTCTAATACCATAGACCACAAAGTTTTAGGGCCATTATATATATATATATGAGCTCGTACAAAATGGTTAAATTCTAAAATTTTATAGCATGATTGCGAACTTGCAAAACGATAAAAAAAATCGGAGAGTGTGTCAGAATTTCGGAAAACAGTGTCAGAATTTCGGAGAGTGTGTCAGAGGTTCCTGCTTCAGAATTCGTCAAATTTTTCTGACGCGAGCGGGAAAAACCAGAATCAGGCTCAATTTCGGCGGGAATTTCATGTAGTTACCATTCGCGTGATGGGCTGCTAGTGTAGAGTTACCAAATGTGTTACGCGAGTGACCAAACGTGTTAAGTGAGTTACCAAACGCGTTAAGCGAGTTACCAAATGCGTTGAAATCGTTACCGTACGCGTTACAGTGCCCCATGTTTGTTACCATTGACATATTTTCCCTTCTTACAAAGTGGTATACTAATTTACATGCATTTTGCTTACAAATACAAATGAACTATATAATTTACGCACACTAAGTGTGAGTGTGCCATGCATCACATGACATTACAAGGCACCTGCCTGCACATCCCATCACCCACCCTCTGAGCTCCATCATTTACCCCACCCAACCCACTCGCACCCCCCCCACTTGCCCCCCCATCCCACATGGCATTTAAAGCCCGAGTCAAATGGCCATGTTTCCCCCCACCATTCCCACCTGCACAACCACCAAAACCACCGCCGCCACCACCAGCACTGTTCCCTGAGGGGCGGCTAGAATCATGCGCAGATGATGTGGGGTGCGAGGTGGCGTTGCGGAGGGAGGAGAGAGGCGAGGGGCCTAGAGCTTCTAGAGTTTGTTCCAGGAAGGGCCGGATTCTGGAAAAAGGTGGGCGCTGCAATGGATCCTGGTGCCAGCACGTGGCTATGAAGCTGGTGGGGAGGGGGGGGGAGGAGGTGAGGTGGCAGGGGAAGATTGAGGCAGGGGGGAGGGATTATGACTTTCGAGGCGCCCCACAAGTCGTCTCTTGAGGCACATCATTGGGGGCGGATTTTGGAGGAGGGTTAGCAGGCGCTGCAATGGGTCCTGGTGCAAATAGTGGGGAGGGGAGAAGGGGTGAGGGGGGAGAGTGGGCCAGGAGGCCAAGGGGACAATGGAGCAGGGGAGAAGAGGGACAGGGGCCGAGGGGTGGAAAAGGGGGGTGTGCGTGGCAGACGAAGGGAAACGAAGGGGGCTTGATGGCATTGAAAGCTTGGAGAAAACTGGAAGGAGTGTAGTGGGAAGGCTGGCGAGACAGCAATGAGCATAGTGGCACACATTGTGAAGCGCATGCAATTCACAATCCGTGTGTGCTTCATGTGCCTTTACCAAGCCAATGAACACACGGATGGATGGGCTCTTACACGAGATGCAGGTCAATGCAAGAGATTGAAACAGCTGCACGAGAAGCAAGAGATGCAAGAGGCGACACTCACTCCTTGACATGTGGCGGGTACGTGCGGGCTTTGAAGATTGGGCGCACGTTGAGAGCATACTTTCTTGCCACCTCCTGCGGTGCCAGCAACTTCATCTGCTGCCCGCCCTCAAACATCTGAGAAGGGTGGGACGGGGAGAGCAGGATTGAGAGGAGGAGGGGAGAGAGGGGAGGCAGGGGAGGGAGGGGAGAGAGAGTGGGGAACGAGAAGAGGGAGGAGCACGGAAGGACAGGTAAGGAGGAGAGAGCGATGGGAGGGAGGGAAGAGTGGGGATGTGTGGACAGGTGGTGGGTTCACACATGAACCTAAGAGTGCTGATGACCCCGGTAGCAGAGGGGAGGAACTGAGGGGAGGAACTGAGGGAGGAACTGAGGGAGGAACTGAGGGAGGAACTGAGGGAGGAACTGAGGGAGGAACTGAGGGAGGAACTGAGGGAGGAACTGAGGGAGGAACTGAGGGAGGAACTGAGGGAGGAACTGAGGGGTGGAACTGAGGGGAGGAACTGAGGGGAGGAACTGAGGGGAGAAACTGAGGGGAGGAACTGAGGGGAGGAACTTAGGGGAGGAACTGAGGGGAGGAACTGAGGGGAGGGGAGGAACTGAGGGGAGGAACTGAGGGGAGGAACTGAGGAAGGAACTGAGGGGAGGAACTGAGGGGAGGGGAGGAACTGAGGGGAGGAACTGAGGGGAGGAACTGAGGGGAGGAACTGAGGGGAGGAACTGAGGGGAGGAACTGAGGGGAGGAACTGAGGGGAGGAACTGAGGGGAGGAACTGAGGGGAGGAACTGAGGGGAGGAACTGAGGGGAGGAACTGAGGGGAGGAACTGAGGGGAGGAACTGAGGGGAGGAACTGAGGGGTGGAACTGAGGGGAGGAACTGAGGGGAGGAACTGAGGGGAGAAACTGAGGGGAGGAACTGAGGGGAGGAACTTAGGGGAGGAACTGAGGGGAGGAACTGAGGGGAGGACTGAGGGGAGGAGGGGAGGAACTGAGGAAGGAACTGAGGGGAGGAACTGAGGGGAGGAACTGAGGGGAGGAACTGAGGGGAGGAACTGAGGGGAGGAGGACTGAGGGGAGGAACTGAGGGGAGGAACTGAGGGGAGGAACTGAGGGGAGGAACTGAGGGGAGGAACTGAGGGGAGGAAACTGAGGGGAGGAACTGAGGGAAGAACTGAGGGGAGAACTGAGGGAGGAACTGAGGGAGGAACTGAGGGAGGAACTGAGGGAGGAACTGAGGGAGGAACTGAGGGAGGAACTGAGGGAGGAACTGAGGGAGGAACTGAGGGAGGAACTGAGGGAGGAACTGAGGGAGGAACTGAGGGAGGAACTTAGGGGAGGAACTGAGGGGAGGAACTGAGGGGAGGAACTGAGGGGAGGAACTGGGGGAGGAACTGAGGGGAGGAACTGAGGGGAGGAACTGAGGGGAGGAACTGAGGGGAGGAACTGAGGGGAGGAACTGAGGGGAGGAACTGAGGGGAGGAACTGAGGGGAGGAACTGAGGGGAGGAACTGAGGGGAGGAACTGAGGGGAGGAACTGAGGGGAGGAACTGAGGGGAGGAACTGAGGGGAGGAACTGAGGGGAGGAACTGAGGGGAGGAACTGAGGGGAGGAACTGAGGGGAGGGGGGAACTGAGGGGAGGAACTGAGGGGAGGAACTGAGGGGAGGAACTGAGGGGAGGAACTGAGGGGAGGAGAACTGAGGGGAGGAACTGAGGGGAGGAACTGAGGGGAGGAACTGAGGGGAGGAACTGAGGGAGGAACTGAGGGAGGAACTGAGGGAGGAACTGAGGGAGGAACTGAGGGAGGAACTGAGGGAGGAACTGAGGGAGGAACTGAGGGAGGAACTGAGGGAGGAACTGAGGGAGGAACTGAGGGAGGAACTTAGGGGAGGAACTGAGGGGAGGAACTGAGGGGAGGAACTGAGGGGAGGAACTGAGGGGAGGAACTGAGGGGAGGAACTGAGGGGAGGAACTGAGGGGAGGAACTGAGGGGAGGAACTGAGGGGAGGAACTGAGGGGAGGAACTGAGGGGAGGAACTGAGGGGAGGAACTGAGGGGAGGAACTGAGGGGAGGAACTGAGGGGAGGAACTGAGGGGAGGAACTGAGGGGAGGAGGAACTGAGGGGAGGAACTGAGGGGAGGAACTGAGGGGAGGAACTGATGGGGGAGAGGAACTGAGGGGAGGAACTGAGGGGAGGAACTGAGGGGAGGAACTGAGGGGAGAGAACTGAGGGAGGAACTGAGGGGAGGAACTGGGGGAGGAACTGAGGGAGGAACTGACTGAGGGAGAGGAACTGAGGGGAGGAGGAACTGAGGGGAGGAACTGAGGGGAACTGATGGGGAGAGGAACTGAGGGGAGGAACTGAGGGGAGGGAACTGAGGGAGGGAACTGATGGGGAGGAACTGATGGGAGGGATCTGATGGGAGGGATCTGATGGGAGGGAACTGATGGGAGGGAACTGATGGGAGGATCTGATGGGAGGAAACTGATGGGAGGAAACTGATGGGAGGAAACTGATGGGAGGAAACTGATGGGAGGAAACTGATGGGAGGAAACTGATGGGAGGAAACTGATGGGAGGAAACTGATGGAAGCACTCGTGTCACCAGCATCCCTCTGCTGCTCTTATGTGTGTGATGCGCTCACCCTTCACACACAAGCAGAAGCTCGATCGTGAGTTAACTCGCTCTCTTTTGAGTCAACTCAAGATTACTCCGTTCTCCACCCCCCCACTCCTGCTCCTGTGTGCTCTCGCCCTTCACTTCAAACACATGCAAAAAGTTGCTTCACGACAATCCGTCCACAGCCCATTGCAAGCCCTCCCTCCCCCCACACCCACCACCATACAGCAACCACTCTCCCTTTCGCCAGAGCAGAACCACCCTGCCCCACGCTCCCCACCCTCCCCACCCTCCCCACCCTCCGCCCTCCCTTGCACCGCACGGAGCAGGACGGCAAAGGAGAAGTTCCGCACTAGTCTGCCCCGCGCTGCCGTCCCCCGCACCCCGCCCACCCCTCCAAACTACTACCTTGCACCTCGTGCAGCAAGATGACATGTGAGTGGACTGAAAAGCCACCCCGGGCCCACCCCTCCAAACCAAACCACTGCGTTGCACTCCGCCCGCTCGTGCACCTCGTGCAGCAGGATGGCAAAGGAGAAGTTTCAAACTACTCTGCCTGCCCCGCCCTCCCCATTCCCACCTGCCCATTACCCCCACCCCCCCCAACCCCACCCCACCTCGTGCAGCAGGATGGCGAAGGAGAAGACGTCAACGGGCGTGCCGTAGGGCTCGTGGCGGAACACTTCAGGCGCCATGTAGCGGTCTGTCAGGGGGAAGGGGGCATGGGGGGAGCGACGTGGGGGGGATGGGGGAAGCGAGGAGGGCATGGGGGGAGCGACGTGGGAAGGCAACAGTAGGGCTCGTGGCGAAACACCTCTGGGGCCATGTGGGGACTCATGGATGGGATGCCGGGGAGGGAAGGAAGTTGGTTCGGGTAGGAGTTAAAGGAACAACAGACACACAAAGCAACAGGCAAAGGCAGGAGTGTATGGTGCATGGTGCATGGTGCGAGGGCAGTGATGCATGTGTGAGGTGTAAGCTCGTAAGCAGTGCACGGAGAATGGAATTGTGCATGGAGCACGGCGCATAGTGCACACACGTACAAGTGCCGGCTTGACTCTCCAAGGGCTTGTCGGTAGGGGCAGCAGCAGCAGAGGCATCAGAGCAGTCAGAGGAGAGCGAGGAGTTGACCGTGGGAGGCACGGACGAGCATGGTGACACCGACCCCCCTCCCACCCCCGCTGCTGCTCCCCCCGCTGCTCCTCCCCCCACTGCTGCTCCCCCCACTGCTGCCACACATCCCGTCCCCCTTGCATTCGAACCATGCTCTCCTCCACCTGCGGGGCATTCTGCTGCTGCTGCTGCTGCTGCTGATGTTGGTGTTGGTGGGAGGTGGAACGGTGCGCGTGTGCGTGTGGGTGCGGGTGTGGGAGTGGGGGTGTGGGCGGAGGGGGGAGAGTGGTGGCGAGGCCAAAGTCGATGAGCTTCAAATGCCCTCGGATGTCCAGCAGTAGGTTGCTGCCGTGCAGCACACGGCACGCACACAGGTGCAGGGGGTGAAGAGAGCCAGGGGAAGGGAAAACAGGAGGAGCGGATAAAGAAAGGGAAAGGAAACAGGGGGTGGAGAACAGGGGGAAGAAATGAAACAGGTGAAAGAAGGAGGGGCGTTTGCTCCGGCGTGGTAACGAGGACAGAGGCTTGAAATAGCACAAGGAGAGGGGAATAAGGCGTGGGCTTGAGCATGGGAATGGGCACAGCAAAGCATGGCATGGGCGTAGGCATGGGCGTACTGTGGTTTGAGGTCTCGGTGCACGATGGGCGGAGACAACCCGTGCAGATACTCCATTGCCCTGCCACGCACTCCATGGGGGGGAGAGGGAGTAACCACCGCAGCAGCACACACGCGCACACAAACACACATTGAGGGAGAGCATGAGAGTGGGGGGGGAGGTTGGGTGCGGAGGGTGGAGTGGAGCAGGGTTGCCGCAGAGTTGTTCCACAACCTCCCCTCCTCACACTGTGTTCCACAAGAATTGTCCTGCAACCATGTAGCACGACAACCCAGCCTGCACCCCTCTGGATTCCCCAATTGCCCCCTGCAACCGTGCCAGTTTTAAAACGTGTTCAAAAGCCAGTGTGTCTTCACGCGAGCAGCTACGGCCCTCGCCAAAGCATGTGCAGTATCACTCCCCTCACTCCCCTCACGCCGCTGCTCCGTTAGCACACGATCAGCACGCCCCTCACCGTGCAATGCCAAGGTGATTTTTGAGGCGCCTAAACAATCGCCCTACTACACGACCCTCACCGAGCAATGTCAAGGGCGAAGAGCAGGATCTGGCGCGCGCCCAGAGGCGACTTGGACTGGATGTAGTCATGCAGATCGCCCTGCATCGTGCATATGCACCCACCCAAACCCATGCCGTATCATGCCATGCCGTATCAAGCCATGTTATGCCATGACAGAGAAACAAGAAGGCACGAGAGTTAAGGCCTCTCTTCCTCCCCCCCTTCCCTCGCCTCGCCTCGCCTCCCCTCCCCTCCCCTCCCCTCCCCCATGCATCTCAATGACTAGCATGGCGGGGCGAGCACCATAGGAAGCATCGCCCCTCTCTCCCCCTCCCTTACGCTCCCCGGCCCCCCCAGGATGGGCATGGCGTTGGCGATGGAGCCATCACCAACGCCATGCCCATCCTGGGGGGGCCATCACAACAAGCACCATCACCCCGCATTCCCCCTCTCTCCTGCCTCATTCTCCCCTTCCCCCTCCCCCCTCCCCCCTGCACCCAACGCACCATGGGCAGCATCTCAGTGACGAGCATGAAGGGCATGGCGTCCGTCTTGGCACCCAGGAAGCGCACTATGTTGGGGTGCTGCACTCGCCGCGTCAACGCCACCTCGCGCAGGAAAAACGTGCTGAGAGGGGGGGGGGAAGCAGGGAGGGGAGGAAGGGAGGCGGGGGAAGTGGGGAAGTGGGGGTGAGGAGGAGGGGGGTTGGGGTTGGTCGGGGACATTGTGGGCTGCTCTGCAGTGCGATGGCGTTGCATGGATGGAAGTAACACACTCAACAGCAGCAGCAGGCAGCGCAGCAGGCATGCGCTGCCGGGTGTTGCGGAGCAGGCAAAGCGAGAGCAGCGCAGAGGGGCACTGGGTGAGGGTGAGTTGTTGAACGGACCAGAGCAGCGAGTCCGCGGCGTTCTTGAGGATCTTCACTGCCACGGCCTGCCCGTGCCATGACCCCATGCGCACCTCGCCATACGTGCCCTGCCATCCAACATGCCATGCCATAGAACAGAAGGCGATATGATGCGATGCCATGACATGCCATGTTATCCCATACGGCTCCACGCCATGCCATGCGAGCAAGGAAAAGGCGTGAGAGCGGGGGGGGGGGGGGGGGGGGGGGGGGGGTGGGGGGGAGAGCGGAAGATACACATGAGAGTGGGCGCAGGGGAGAAAGAGCGGCCTACGGAACGCAGGGGTTGCCAGGCGGGAGCGCCGCGAGGGAACAGGGGAAACGGGGGAAGACAGGGGGGGACGGGGGAGGCCGAAGCGGGGGCGTGGGGTTTGGGAAGAGTAACGGAGTAGGCGCATTTGGCAGCAGCGTGTGAGGCAGAGGCATGTGGAGAGCTTTTAAGCGCGCCGCGTCGCTTCGGGCCAGAAGGGGCTCAGCACGCGCGCGTAGCAGCGCTGGCGTTGCGCAAAAGGCGTCGTGCGCGCAGCGCACGGCGCTGACACACCGTGCGAAAGGCAGAGCGCGATTGGCGGCGCTGCTGTCGGGGGTGGGGTGCTGGGGAGGGGGGAAGGGGGAAGTGGGGAAGGGGGGGGTGGGGGGAGATTGGGAGAGGAAGAGCGCGCGACTCACGGCGCCGAGGAAGCGCGTGGGCGAGATGTGCAGGTCGGACGGGTCGAACGGGGGAGACGCCACCCCCGAGTGGCCCGCGTGCGCGAATGACCGCATCGGATCATTCTCCGCCGCTCCCGCTCCCCCTCCCACTCCCGCTTCTGCTCCCCCTTCCGCTCCCACTCCCGCTACCTCTCCTGCGGCCGCTACGGCTCCCACCGCGCCTGCCCCTGCTCCGTCCTCGTTTCCCCGCCCCGGCGCTTCCGAGATCCCGGGATCCCCTCGCGCGGGGCCTCCCGACTGGGTCTGCTCCGCGCTCGCAGCGCACGCACCGGCTCCGCTCCGCGTCGCGCAATGGGGGCTGGAAACGGCGCTCGTAGCGGCGGTGGTGGCGGTGGCGGTGACTGTGGCGGCTTCCATGTCTTGGTGGGCTGTATGCAGGATTCGATTGGGATTTGCTGCTCGCGACGCGCGCGATCACCGCTACGTACCACGCGCTGAGACGAGAGTGGATTGCGAGAAACGCGGCATGGGGGAGGAATCGGTCGGTGACGGATGAGGGACCGATAATGGGGTGGTCTCACAGGAGGTTTGTCGATTGGCGACAATAAGGGAGGATGGTGTGCGATGACGTTACTATATGACGGCCTGATGACCGCAGATGCTAGGAACCCGAAGTGCGAGCTAAGATTCGCAATGAGAGCGGATTTTACGCTTCACGTATTGCGCATACAAGGACGGAGTACTTCGCGTAGAAACTGAGAAGTGAGATGTGGTACTGTAAACGCATGGCCTGAATTTAGTGGTGGGTGGCGGGTCAACCAGCCACAAGCGGTTGTACTGTGCAGTAAAGTACGAAGCAGGAAACGGTCAGGTCAGGACTCAGGTCAGGAGGAGGCTGGGGGCTACCGGAGGTTGGAGGAAGAAACGAGTGAGCGGATGAGATGAATGGGTGAGATGAGGCGAATCTGACGGACAAGTACACTACAGCTGTTGCGAGGACAGGAAGAACGAAGCAGCGCAGCAACAGTACGGTTGGTCTTTCGCACAGCAGTGGTTGTCGGCTAGGCGCGAGAAAAGGCGACTTTCGCAAAAGGTCAGGGATGCCAGGTGGCGAAGGGGTTGCGCTCAAAGCGACGGGGCTTGGTGATGTTCGTTACAACCAGGTCGTTGGGGGGGCTTGGCGGGTTGCGGAAGAGCGGACGGGTGCAGGCGTGCGGGGTGTGCAGGCTGGTGGGTGGATGTGTCTGATGTGATAAACGAGCGGGATTTGATCGCACAACCAGATGCGAGGAATCCGAACGAATCTCTGCAGCGAGGGGTAACATACTACTTTCGAAGATAGCAACGACACTCGCATGCGAGTGAAATCAGATGTTTCGCCAAAGAGTGTTACCGAAATCCACCGGAATCGTGCCTCTGGAATCTGGATTCAGGAAGGCTCCACCTCGGCGTGCCTTGCTGCGCTGGCAAGCACTTTTCTTCCCAAACAAGCATGAGTCTGCCAATCATATCTAGCCAGATGTGCCTGCTGACTGGATACTTCTGCCCTCAATCGTCATGTCATAGCTTCTCACGCAATGCCAATCGGTCGGAACGCAACTGGAGCGTTCCAGAGCGAGAGTCTGATGGGCTTCAATGTTCATATACTGCGCTTCATCGATCCGTTGTGGTTCTATTCATCCGTCCCAGCATTTTGTTCCCAAGAGAACTCTTCTCACGACATCCTAGGCTGAACATCTGACAGAACCACATTGACGTGTTAATTTGGGCTCTTACTGCTAATCACCATGGCGGCTATGTGTGGGTCGGCAGCAGTTTCAGCGTCAGCCGTCTATGCTCCACCAAACTGTCAACTAGCTCAAAAGGGCTCCGTTCCGGTGTCTTCAGTGTGCTTTTCGGCTGTCAGGCCGGTTGCATCCGATCGTTCTTCCTTCGCCACCTCCCCGCAGCGCTGTTCTTTTCTTCAGTCATCAATTCCTCTTCGAGCTCAGCCGAATAAATCCACAACGGTATGCTTCTACCATACGCCATCAGCCGCATGAGCCGTTCGTTCTTGCTGAGCCACAGGTTCTTTATGGCTCCACAAACCCTCGATTCGTTCTTCGTTGCCCAATCTGTTGATTTGCCTCTATTCCCTCGTATTTTCAGCAGTCGCGACGCTTTGTCGTTTCGGCAGCGGGAAAGCAGACGTTCTCTTCTTTCGATGACATGATACAAACCGCGGACGTGGTTCTTGTTGACTTCTACGCCACATGGTATGTCAGTCCCTTGTGAGTCTTACTCGGTGGGGTTTGAGCTCAACTCATACTGTCAGGAACTTCACACACTTGGTAATTAAGGCAATCGAGAGAATACATAACTTCAAGCAGCACCGCACACTAATCACACTTACACAATGGCCCTCCCCCTCCCCACTCATTTTCCTCCGTGTTTAAGGTGTGGTCCTTGCCAAATTGTGGCGAAGACTTTGGAACAAGTGTCTGCTCAAGTTGGCGATTCCGTCAAAATTGTACGTGTTAACTTACTCGTAACCTCGATAGTGTGCACGTTGTGCCCCGCCCTCCGTCACACGGAGGCCACACTGGAGTCCGTGAGCTGCTCTGATGGCATGGTGTTTGCATGTGTCTAAACTGCAGGTCAAGGTGGACACGGAGAAGTACCCTAAGCTGGCATCGCGGTATGGGATTCAAGGCCTGCCAACTTTGATGCTTTTCCGGAAAGGACAAGTTATTGATCGCGTGGTAAGATAAGTGCTTCTTAGTCAGCCTCATGTTGGTTCATTAGCAATCAAGGTTGTAATTTATGGTCGTTTTGTTTTCCTGCAGGAGGGAGCACTTTCAGCACAAGACCTTATCATGAGGATGAACTACATGCTGTCCACATCGAAGTAGTGATTTTCAGACGCACTTGGAACCATGTGTGCTTGGAAAGTATGTGTATGCTTTCTGTGCTTATCGAAGATTTTCTTCCAGGAGACGATGTCAGGTGGTCATCTTGCAAGTGTGGTAATAAAGGGGGACGCGTGACCACCCCGCGATACAGTAATTGATGTGTGAAGGGAGGGATGTGATGGGTAGTCCCACCCACCACGTTCCCCACGCGACGGGAAATGAAACTGCGGCGAAACGGGGATGCATATGAGCCATGCCATGTGGCCCTCGCTCTGTGGATCTCGGCTCGCATGGGGGGAAGCGGACTCATTTGCTGGCCAGTGGCAGAGGGCTCAAAGAGAACCAACTCTTCCCAAGCAAACCAGATTGAAAACCCTGTCAAAAACCCCTCTTTTTAACTCCCTTCGGCGTTTTCGTAACCTCGAACACCTCCAGTCGCGCTACTAGCGAAACACAAAACTGCCCGAGGGGCGTAAGTGAATTCCTGATTGACCCTCAATGTTCTGGAAGAACACAGAGAAGGCCCCTTTTGAGCGCAGGGTTCCCCGCCGGAAGAAAATGGTCGCACCTCATTGGTTTGTTTGGTTGGCTCTCCTTGCTTTTGGCATGCGTGGCAGCGCCGCGTCGGCCCCGCACATCAAAATCGTCGACGAACCGTAGATTCCGATTCCACCCCACCCAAACCTACTGTAACCCACTAAAACCTACCACATTCATTTTCAGAACCAGAGCCAACCTGATCAGGATCGCGCATCGATCAGAGAGGTTCGAGATGCGCTCCCTCCTGACCAGTTTTCCCTGCGTCGATGCTTGCCTTCATTCTCTTTGCTCGCACTCGGGTCATTCACAAACACAACTACTACCACAATCACCATCCAGCAGAATCCTTGTGACCTCACACATCTCGAGCTTGTGATCCCTGATCTACGGGCAGCGTTCTCTAGCGGCCTCTGCCCATCAATTCTCTGTGCGCGTCCCGCAATCTCGCTCCAGCTTGCGCTGTGGTAGAGTTTACAAGATTGTCCGTAGTCCCGCGTCTCGTTCTTCCTTCTCCCTCACACTGCCGTCGATCCCTACTCTCGCCGTTCTCTCGCCATGACGGGAGTCACCAACGCTTTTGTGAATCAATTGACGAGCAACCACGCCGCAAACGGCCATGCGACGAGCGGCAATGCGACGAACGGCAATTCGACGAGCGACGGGAATGCGACGAACGGCTGTGGCCAGCACCCCGCCCCGAGCGAGTTATTCTCCCTGGCGAAGCGCCGTCGCATGGACGGCGATATCGTCGAGCATCACACCTCGGTACCTCTGAATCGGACCGTCAAGTCGGACCCTGATCTCTGGCCGGACCGCACCGACCTGGACGATTACGATGACCGCGTGAAATCCGCCGCGGCGGCCGCGGCGGAGTGGGCGGAGATGTGCGACGCGGCAGTGGCGATGGAGGCGGGGCGGCGCGCCCACGCGCAGAAGTGGTCGCGGCGCGTGAGAGAGGGGCTGGCGAAGGTGGTGGACGTGTGGAAAGGCATGGGGCGCGAGAGGGACGTCGCGTCGCGCATGATGGACGTGGATCACGGCAGCGGCAGCGGCGGCGGCGGCGGCGGCGGCGGCGGAAGCGGGATGCTTCCGCGGATCCGATCCGTTCACGGCGACCTCGATAACAGTTTGGAGGATGGCTTTATGATGGTGGACGATGGAGTGATTCAGAGCTACTGCGCGGAGGAGCACCATCACTACGGGCCGCGCAACGACTGCAAGACCAAGATGATCTGCACGCTGGGGCCCGCGTCGCGCAGCGTGCCGGTTCTGGAGAAGCTGCTCTTAGCGGGGATGAACGTGGCGCGGTTCAACTTCTCCCACGGCTCGCACGAGTACCATGCGGAGACGCTTAGCAACCTGCGCGCTGCTATGGCGAACACGGGGATCCTGTGCGCCACGCTGCTCGATACCAAGGTGCGGCTTCAAATCTCCTTAAAAACTTGCAATTGCGTTGAAACTCCCAGGATTACTCTGGGGAGGGATCTGTCAGACGCAGTCTGGTCGCATGGCGCACGTGGGCGTCATCTCTAATTCCCTCACTCACATTTCCCATGTCAACCCACGTCTCCTTCCCTCCCACTCCCACTCCTCCTCCACCCTCTTTCGCCCTTCGTCCCCATCCCCGCATTTCCCGCTTCCTCCCCCCCCCCCCCGTGCGTCTCCCCCTCCGCCAGGGCCCCGAGATCCGCACGGGGCAGCTGAAGGGCGGGAAGGCGGTGCAGCTGCAGCAGGGCAGCGAGGTGACGCTAACGACGGACTACGCCACCCTGGGGGACGCCAGCACCATCGCCATGAGCTACAAGAGCCTGGCCAAGGACGTGCGCCCTGGCGGACAGATCCTGTGCGCCGATGGCAGCATCTCGCTCACCGTGCTCTCGTGTGATGTGGCCAAGGGGTGAGCTGTGGGAGGAAATGGGATGGGAGGCAGGTCTATTTGTGCATGGGGTTTCGAAGTTTGAGGATTGGGGTTTGGGGTTTGGGGTTCTGGTTGGGTTGTGAGAAGTTGGTTTGGTTTCTACTGGCATGATCGGGCTGACCGCGCAACTAACTGGCTCAGCCAACCCGCACCTTCTAATCTCGCCCCAACCTTCCTTCCGTCCGACATCCCTCCCACCTCTCCCTCCATCCTCAACCCTCCCTCCCGCCTCCACCCACCTATCCCTTTCCCAGCACGGTGCGGTGCCGGTGTGAGAACACGGCAGTGCTGGGCGAGCGCAAGAACGTGAACCTGCCGGGCGTGATAGTGGACCTGCCCACCGTCACCGCCAAGGACGCCGAGGACATCCTGCACTGGGCCGTGCCGCACGGCATTGACTTCATCGCCGCCTCCTTTGTGCGCAAGGGCTCGGATGTTGTTGCCATTCGCAAGCTGCTGGGGCCGGAGAACAGCAAGCGCATCCATATCATCTCCAAGGTTGGCGCTGGGAATGGACGTGTGGGGAGAGGGAGGGAAGGAGGAAGCGGAGGGGGAGAGGAGTCACGGGGGTGGGATGGAGGTGGCTGTGTGGGATTGTGACGAGGGCTGACACTGTGGTCCTTTTCCTTATGGCCCCAAGCTCTGTTTGGCATTATCAGATTAGTTGCATCCTCCACGACCGCCAGTCATTGCACTTGCATCTCACAGGATTCTTGCCACATTAAACAGTAACACTCCTGTGCGCCTGCGTCTCTCCCGAACTTCCCACCAGGTGGAGAACCAGGAGGGCCTGGTCAATTTCGACGACATCCTGCGCGAGTCAGACGGCATCATGGTAGCCCGAGGCGACCTGGGCATGGAGATCCCCATTGAAAAAATCTTTCTGGCACAGAAGATGATGATCCACAAGTGCAACAAGGCCGGCAAGCCCGTCGTCACCGCGACCCAGATGCTCGAGTCCATGACCAAGTTCCCGCGCCCCACGCGCGCCGAGTGCACCGACGTGGCGAATGCGGTGCTTGACGGGACCGATGCGGTGATGCTGTCGGGGGAGACGGCGGCGGGGCAGTATCCGGTGGAGGCGGCGTGTGTGATGGTGCGCCTGTGCAGGGAGGCGGAGGCGAGTGTGGACCCGGCGGCGGCATATAAGGAGATGATGGCGGCCACTGCCATGCCCATGAGCCCCATTGAGAGCCTCGCTTCTTCTGCTGTCAAGACGGCTGACATGGTGAGGGTGCCGCGCCACTCTGGGTGCTTGCCTCCGCACCCCGCACGCTCCACTCTGTTCTTGGTTTTTTTTCCTTGCCTTTGTTAATGCTGAAGCCGTCCCTCTCATGGGGGATCGTGTTCCTTCCGACCTTCGTTGTTTACCGTACCTTCTCTCGTCTATCAAGGCTTGTTCTCTTTCAGTCTAGTTTGCTTAACTCCCCTTGGCCCCTTCCAATCCTGCTTGCTCTTCCCCCATCCATGGCAGATTCGAGCTGCTGTGATCGTCGTGCTCACGCGCACCGGAGCGACGTCGAGACTCATCGCCAAGTACCGGCCACCCATGCCCGTGCTGTCAGTCGTGGTCCCGGAGCTCATCCCCCACCCACACGACCCACTGCGCCTCGTGTGCTGCTCCGGTGCCGAAGCTGCTGTCAGGCATGCACTGCTGGTTCGGGGGCTGCACCCTGTTATGGCTGAGGGTGGGGCTCATGCGACGGACAGTGATGCGACCGATGCTATTGTGGCTGCTGCCATTGGCACAGGCATAAGTGGAGGGCTGTGCAATGTGGGTGACACGGCAGTGGTGGTGCAGAAGATTGGGAACGCCAGTGCTCTTAGGATTATGATTGTGAAGTGATTGCATGGCAATCCTTTTTCTTTGATGTTGAGAGGATGGATGGATAATTCTATTGTATCAAAATGTGGTAATTTTAATGAATTCAATTTCTACAGAGGTGCTAGATTGCATACTGTTGATTTGGACATGGTTGTGCATGACCAGATGGCATATTCTCGTTGGCACCGCTGATCTGGTTGGTGAGCGTAGGTGACGTCAGCTTTTGTGGTGAAGAGAATCCGCGAAATGCAGTCCCAAGTAACGCCTTTACCACCGTGAATGTTCGTCGTTGTCGCCCGCGACGCTTCCATCGATGTTGATTGACATGGTGCAAATCTCAAAACAATTCTCTGCTTGCGGGCTGCCTTTCAAAAACAAGGAGGTTTTCATTCGCCCCCATCAGTAGCGCATTCCATCTTTTGTTCACCAACTCTCCCCACATGACTGGGTTGTGTTTTTGTAAAATTCGGCCCATCCTCTACCTCGTATTTCCTATGCACTCAACAAATAAATGTACAACTTTTTCCGAACAGTTGCTTCCCTTCACATTAAAATCTCCATTTGACCGCGACGCTTTCTTCCCTCGGGTCGCTTTGGTGACACCAGGAAACAACAGCCGCAGCAGATCGGGCATGCCGACGGAAAAGAAGGAAACCGGAAAAACGAAAATATCAACAAGGTCGCACTGCAAATGGGCATACCCTGGGCAGACTGCCCGCAGCCCGCCAGCCACCCTCTTCGTTCCCCCCTTCCTCCTCTTGCCCTTCCTTCCCCCCCTCCGTGAATTCCTCCTCTGTTTCCGCGCCACACCACCCGACACACCCACCACCACCACACAAATTTACAGTCTCGACCTGCACCCGAGATTTTGCGGCAGCCAGTGAGACTCATCCGATGGGTTTCCTCCGCATCTGCTTTCCATCCGAACCGACCCGAGCCGTGGTTGATGCACATGGAAGGACGGATGTCAAGTTGACTCCTCCCCTACCTCCCCCCTACCGGTCGTTCAGTCCTTGCTTCCTCCGCCGGCAAACTTAGCGCCAAGAGACATTCCCCAACTGATTCTTAGCTCAAGCATCCCCTACTTACTGCCGAGCCCCTCCCAAAGCAGCTCAGTCTTACCCAATCGAGCGCGATGAAGCAGCGCAGAGGCCGCGAAGCTGCCCGTCGATTAAATACCGCCAAGTCTACACCGTCTTCCCCGCCAAGCATCCCCGCAAGCACACCCTCCTTCCCCCCGGGCCTCACCAGCCTCGCGCTTCTCTCCGCTCCCCGCCGCCGCAAAGACCCCCTCGCGGATGCCGCCCAATCGAAGCGCCGGAGCTCGCGCCAGCGCGCTTCGGGGGAGTGCCGCTTCGCCGCGCTTATGGCGACGAATCTCGTTATAGCGGCGGGCTCCTCCGCCCTCGCAACCGCCCTCGATACAATGCCACAGTGGGGTCCATACCTCTCCGCGTGGCTCGCCTCGCTTTCCTCCACCTCCCTGCGCCCCGGCCTATTCCTCTTCGCCTTAGGAGGCGGCTATCTCGGTCTTAACTCCCTAAACGACCCCTCCGTCATTTCCGCTGCCACCTCCCCGTCGTCGCGTGCGGTTTCCGCTCCCGTGTCGCTCCTCAAGCTATTTTCCAATGGCGAACTTGATAGACCCGTCGACGACGGCTTTTCCGCTAGTGACGGGTTTTCCTCGGGCGCCACGGGGTTAGGAGGCGCCGCGGCGAGTCTCCACGGCGTGGTGAATTTTAACTTCGTCGTGGCCATGGCGGCGCTGCTCAGCGCCTCGGGGCTGTGCTGCGCCGCGCTGCTCACGCACGGGCTGGGCGGGCGAATGAGGTACCGCCACCTGGCGTGGATGTTCTGGCAGCCGTTCGTGGGCGGACTGCGCTTCGTGCTCATGCAGGTGAGCATTTGCACGAGACTCTTGTAAAGTTGCACCAAGGCTCTTCTTGCCTAGCGTGGACGCTCTTTTCGCGCTCGCTGCTCATCTCCTCGCCTGCGCCATCCAATCCCCGTTCCATCTTCATTCCCCCATCCCTCGGGCCCCTCCCCCGCGCCACCCCCGTCCCTCCCTTCCCCCCTCTTCCGCGCGTCCTCCTCTCCCCCCACCCCAGGCCATGGCATGGACGCTCTTCTCCTTCTCGCTGCTCATCTTCTCGTCTGCGCATGGCAAACCCCGCCCTCCCCTCTCCCCCTCCGTCTCCCCCCCTCTCCCTCCACATCCCATCCCCCACGCCCTCCTCCCCCTCCCCCCCAGGCCATGGCATGGACGCTCTTCTCCTTCTCGCTGCTCATCTTCTCGTCGGTCGCGGTGGTGGCGGCGTTCGTGGGGCACACGACGCTGGGGTACGGGCTGCTCGCATCCGCGGGCGCCACGGGGCTCGCGTCCGAGTTCCTGCTCATGGCCTCGCTCCTCACCTTCGAATGCCCCTCCCGCCACGCCTCCGCTGCTTCTGCGCGCGCTACCGCTACCGCTGCCGGTACCGCTACTGCTGCTGCTGCCGCTGCCGCTTCCTCTACAGCTGCTGCTGCCGCTGTGGATGAGAGCAGCAGCAGCAGTGCCGTCAGCAGCATCAAAGGCTCCGCTGCGGCGCTGCCACCACTGCTCCTGTCACCTCCTCCTCCTCCTTCGCTCCCTGCTCCGCCTGCTCTTGCCGCAGCGGAGGCAGCTGAAATAGAAACAGAAGCAGAAGCAGAAGCAGAAGCAGAAGCAGAAGCAGAAGCAGAAGCAGAAGCAGAAGCAGAAGCAGAAGCAGAAGCAGAAGCAGAAGCAGAAGCAGAAGCAGAAGCAGAAGCAGAAGCAGAAGCGGTGGCGGAATCAGAGGGCGTTGCACCGACCGTGACGGAGAGGGCGTGCAGGGGCGGCGGCAGCGTGCAGGGGAGCGTGGGGGGCGTGGCGTGGCGCGCAGTGGCGGTGCGGCCGGCGCAGTGGACGGCGAGAGAGCTGTTCGTGGCGACGAGGAGCGCGAGGGAGGTCGCGGGGGCCGCCGTGCGAGGGGTGATGCGAGGGGTGATGGGGGGAGCGGTAGAGACCATTCCAGGCATTGCGGTGGGGCGGAGAGGGGGAGAAGGACAAGGGGGAGGGCGGGTGTTGCTGCGGAAGGTGGGAGGCGATGCGATGGATACGGCAGTGGAGCAGGATGGTGATGGGAGGGATGGCCGCAATGATAGACACAGCAGCCGCAGCAGCAGCAGCAGCAGCAGGAGCAGGGCGTGTGATTCAGCTACGAGCAGCACATGCGACGAGTTGTCACTGAGTGCATGCGAGGTGCTGTGGTGGGTGGGAGTGAAGGCTCGGAGCACCACCATTGTGGCAGGCCTCTACTGCTGGCAATACTGCGTTGCTGCTGCCCTGCTCGCCCCTATCCTGCTCCTAAACGTTCTACCCTCCCACCCCTGCACCACCAACAGCAGCAACACCCAACAACAAATGCCACAGGATAACACTAACTGCAGTTACAACCACAGTGACAGTCACAGCAGTGTGTACAGCTGTGGGTTCAGTGCGATGAGCAGCAGCGCCGCAGTGGTGTGTGGGCTGCGCACGGCAAGTGCGGCACTGCTAACAGCCATGGCGTGGGCGTTTGCTTACTGCGTGATCTGCCCCGGGGGATACGAGCGGTCGGGGAGGGGAGAGCGCAAGTGGGTGCAGAGAATGTGAGTCGCGCGGTGCAGCTTTGGTGGGATCTGGGGTTGCATGAACCTTTTGGGGTTGGGAGGGATGGGTTGCAATGGCGAGTGCCATGGGGGTTGCAATAATTAGCCCTTTTTTTTTTTTTTTTTTGTGGTTGACCTTCCCTCAACGAATGAACCTCTCCCTCCCGCTTCCCCTCTCTCCCTCCCTCTTCCCCCCTCTCCCTCCCTCTTCCCCCCTCTCCCTCCGTCTTCCCCCCTCTCCCTCCCTCTTCTCCCCTCCCTCTCCCTCCCCCAGAGTGATGCCGCTATTGGAGGAAGCAGCAGCGGCATATTTCCATGGCATCACCATTGTGAAGGAGGGCGCATGGTGGGCCGCACAAGGCACGGGGGAGAAAAAACTGACGCATGAGGGGCACGATAAGCAAGAAGAGGAGGAGGGTTGCAAGAAGGAGGAGGAGCAGCGATTAGGGAGTGGAGAGGAGTGCGTGGAGGGGAAGGCCACTGCTGCATCCCCTTCGCGCCCACTCATATTTACCTATCACGTAAGCCTGCAAAGCCATGCTACTCCATGCCATGCCATGCCATGCCATGTCATGCCATGCATTCCTATGCCACCCATGCATCCACCACCCACCCACTCCCTCCCTGCACTCCTCAACCCCAGCCCACTCTCTATTGCCCTCTCTCCTACTACCACCACCAGCATGGGCTGATGCCAACAATGATGGCATGCTTTCTGATCTCCTTGGTGTCACCCTGCTTTCCCTTTGTCACTTTCGGGAGTTCTCAAAAGTGGCACAAACATGCAAGCCCCGTCCCCAACCCAACCTTGCTGCACACCTTGTCGGCCCCTTCCCACCTTATTCTCTTCTCTTCCACTCCCTTCACTCCCCACCCCAACTCTCTTCAATCCACCCCTTCTCACCGTCCCTTTTCCCACCAGCCGCATGGGCTGATGCCAGCAGTGATGGCATGGTTCCCACTCGCCTCATTATCACCTGCTCGCACATGCCTGCTTACGCTCTGCATCCTTGCTCCTTCCACCCCTCCCACCATCCCTTTTCCCACCAGCCGCATGGGCTGATGCCAGCAGTGATGGCATGGTTCCCGCTCTCCTCCGCCTTCCGTGCTCTCTTCCCTGCCACGCGCCCCGTGCCGCTCGTCGCCTCCGTGTGCTTCCGCATCCCCCTCGCGCGCACCTACTGCCTGTGGGGTGGCGTGCGCGAGGTGTCACGCCAAGGCTTCCTCACAGCGCTCAAGGACACTGGCGCTGCTGTGCTCTGCCCTGGCGGCCAGGTAGGGAGACCGACTTCGCTGCCCCCCCACTCCCCCTTTCTCGTGCCCCGACCCCCCTCACCCTCCAGCCTCCCTTCCTCCCCACCCCCATTGCTCTTCACCGTTTCCACTGCTTTCCCTACCTTCCCTTGCCACCGCGTTTCCACCGCCGCACTTTCCTCTTGCCTGCGCCCGCCTGAACGGCTGCTCTAACTACCCTTTCTGTTGCATTTTTTTTCACAATCCGCTCCGAATTCCCCTCCTCCTAACTTCCGCCTTCCATCCCCCTTCCTTCCTCCATCCGCTCTCATTCCTTCCCCTCCACCACTAGTCGGAGCTAACATACCACGCCACCAACCAGTCATCGTGCATCGCGCTGTGTGCGCGCAAGATCGGCTTCGTGCGCATCGCAGTGCAGAGCAACGCCCTGCTCGTGCCCACGCTCAGCTTCGGCGAGCCCCACTCCTTTGACAACCTCTTCCACTGGCCCTCCCTGCAGGTACCGTACCGCTATTTGCCTGCCCTGTCCTCCCTCCAGGTACCTGCCTGCCCTGTCCTCCCTCCAGGTTCGGTACCGGTACCAGTGCTTGCCTGCTTTGCCCAGTGTCCACTTACCCACACCCACACATTCTTGTCGCACCACCAGCGCTGCTCACACCACCACGTCTCCATTTATTCTTCATCCTTCTCGTCTCTGCGGCCTTAACCCATCTGTTCATTGACCTCTTCCATCCTCTCCTTATCTGTCCTCCTCCCCTTTCAACTCGCCATACCCCCCTCCCTGCTCGCCTCTCTGTTCCAACCACTGTGTACTCCTATCTGCAGCGGTTCACCTACCGGAGATTCGGCTTCCCTATCCCCTTCTGGCCGGTCGGCTTGTTCGGCTGCCTTCCTCTCCCTCGCGACCGGCCCATGACTCTGGTCATGGGCCGCCCTTTCGATCCTCGCTCGCTCATCCCCACAGTCAACTCTGAAGACCCATCGTACGAAGACCTGTGCGCGATCCGGGATTATTATTATGCGGAGGTCAAGGCTCTCTTTGACCGGCACAAGGCGATTCACGGCTTCCCACACCTGACCCTAGAGCTGCGCAAGTAGCTACTGATACGGTACGGTAGTTGCACGGCCCGTTCATGTCTGTGTGCTGCAGACAAGTCGTATTACCGTAAATACTATGTATGGTGCTGGTTTGAAATGCGGTATCAGTACGGTTTGTACCATACTATAGGCTGGCTTGTGCAAATTCAAATATAATCAATCAATCAACATACGGTACCGTTCCGTAAGCCCCAGGCAGGCCCTCTGTAAGGATTTACAAATCCTTACTGAGGCGCTCGATAGCGAGGCCATCCCGAGGGCCACGCGAGCCTCTGGTTCGGCCTACATTTTCGCATCCCAACCTCACCGAGCCGCCTCCGCACCAATCGCGACACTTCGCGAGCCAACCCTACCACACCATCCCCGCCTAGCTAGGTTTTCCCCTATTTAGGCCTCGCTACTTCATTGTTCAATCATTCTGTGATCAGTTCATTCTCGTTATTCGATATCTGCGCACTCTGACAAGTTCATTCATAACACCTGGTATCAGAGCTACTTTCCTAGCCTACCCCGCTTTTTAGAGTGTAATACCCCTCGGGGGGGGGGACGAGTAAGGATGCCTTGGGGTCCAGGAGTTGCGTAGGCCGGCCAAGAGAACTAGTTAGTTGCTCTTCGCGGCCATGGTTTTACGGGGCACTCCTTCGGCACCGCCAGATCCTTAGCTCGAACGGTCGCGATCGACCGTGGCCTCCCTCCCCCCGGGCAACGGACAGCTGGAGCTGTCGCGACATCGAACGTGAGTACTATTCCGCTGCGTTATTTACCGACGATTTCGGATTTTGTGAGGCAGCTGGCGTCAGCGGACCTGCGTCGGCACCTGCACGAAGATTTCGGAAGTCGTCACGATGTGTGGCAGTTGACGACGTTGGACCCAAGTCAAGAACTGCGCGACAACTTCGGAGTCCGTCCCATGCGGCAAGTGGCGACGGTGGCTCGTCGACATTATGCGCGCGCGACTCACGGAGTGTGGCTCGGCAGCTGGCGACAAGGAACGTGCGTCACTGTGGCGAAAATTTCGGAGCTTCTGTTGAAGAAAACGTCGGCTGGGGAACTCGCCAGGCGCAAAAGGAGTTTGCGTCCGAAAATGTCGGTGGCGAGGAGAGACGACACAAGACTGCCCGACTTCGCGGGAGTTAACTGCCGTCCCGCCCGACCTGTTAAGTGCGGCGGCTTTTACCGCATTGGCGGGCGCGTCATCAGCAACTTCGGCAGGAGTGCTCGTGGACAGACGGGACTTCATACCTGCTTGTCAGATTATATTATTTGTCTAGCCTGCAGTGGGGTGCTCAATAGTGAGTACAACCCCTTTAGGGTTTCCTATTTGTACCAACCTGCTTGCTAGTTCAATCATCCTCCATTCTCTCTTCTCCAATTCTCCTTCGTATACCCCAAACCCTAGCTCTAGGGCACAACCTACCTACTCTATGTGTGGGCCTAGGCTACTAAGCCTAGGCCCCACTCCTAGTATTCTTGACACTGCTGACACTTACGGGCTGCAACGGAAAACGCGGTGGCTAAATCGCACTTACGAGGAGTGGGACGCAGGCGACGAGGGAAATCGGGGCAGGTACACCTCGAAAGAACTCGTGCGACGCTGCGTGCCTGGTGTTGTTGCAAGCTGGCCGGCAGTATCGAGAACAGTTTCCCCTGACCAAGGATGTTGTTTTCGGGGACAGCTGCTGACAACCCACGGTTAAACGGTGTCCAAGGTACCGCAAAATAATTTCGGAGGGGTCGGTACAGGCTGCCGGGACACGCGAGAAGAAACGGCCCAACGGCTAAGCGGGGGTTGAAGAACGTTGCGGGGGCAGATTAAAAGCCGGTGGAATCGATCTGCGGCCCTACTTCGCCCGAACCTCACCATCCCCACCAAGTCCTGGTTCTGACTCATGCAGTCAACCTACTTGGCCGAATAACGGGGGTGAACACGTGGCCTACCCTGCGCTGGTTAAAAGCACCTGGTTTGGTGCCCGTTCGACAGCTGTACAGAAAAATACAAAAACAAAAAAGTGGAGCTCGCGGCACTGTTCTACTCCGACAAAAGCGGGCTGGGTGAACGGCACGCGAAAAAGTCGGGGAGCTGCGAAGAAGAAATGGTGCAGTCTACAGGTTTCTCCTGACCCGGGCGTCTACACGAATCGACGGCGCAGCGGCGAAGCTGAGACCGGGAAGCTGTGGATTTTACGTGGCATGATAGGCACGGCGGGCTGCAAAACGGTTGGGCGACAGTTTCCTTTTAACTAAGGCTGCCCCGACTCCGATAGTTTTTGCCTCTCCACCGTGGCCGAGTTCGCGCGGGCAACAACGACGATACCCCATCCGACAAAAGCGGACGCTGGGTGAACGGCGGGAAGCGGAATTGTCGGGGGGTGAATACGAAAAAAATGCGACGACGGAGGGAAAGTTGTAGGTGATCCAGCAGATCACTTGAGTGATAGGTTGAGCCCGTGCACCAATCTACCGCAAATTTTGGAGTCTATTCGGTAGACCCCCGAAAGGGTTTGATATCGTTACATGGAGGCGCGGCGAGCGGTACATTGCCAAGGATACCTGGGATTCGCTAAGTAGTTCCGGCAGGTACGAAGATGGGTGAACATCGGAGTACCAGGGAAAAAACGGCGGAAACGTCGGGGCTATACGGCGGAGAATAACTTCGGGACTGCAGCCTCAACCACGATTTTCGGGGTTATCTTCCTACAAAAAAAAAAAATGAGTCGAAGCTGAGGGTGTTTCTTAGTTTCTTGGAGTGCGGTTGATACCTAGGACCCACGGGTGTTTAAACGTACACCGCGGGAAATTCTTCAGGGAGCGTGGGAGCAGCCGAGGTTTTGGGATTTACCTGCTGGTGACGAGCGATGAGGTGAAATATTGCAAAGCGTCAGTGGGAGTCTTGTCCGGTTTTCAGTTAAGCGACATCGACGGGAGCAGTTTCGACGACGGGGTCAACGGCGTTGATGCCACTAGGTTCCGTGAAATTCGGTCTCGGAAGACCCAGGGCAGTCCCCGGTTCTCGATTGAACCCACACGCTGGGGTCGGGTAACCGAAGGAAACTGATGGTGACCGGGTGGGCGGCTATAGCACGTCCGAGATTTTCGGAGGCGAACTGCACCTGCAACTGCGGATTTACGGGGCTACTTTTCGAGCGACAATTTCGGAGTTTGATGAAGGACTTCACGGTTTTACGGCGAAAGCGCGGCAATTTTGTGGCAGTATTTTCGGAGTTTGGTTAACAGTGTGCGACAACGACGTAGGGCAACAGCGCGGGAACTACACGGACTTTTCAAGGGGTACGAACGACTTACGACGAACTGGAGAAGGCGGCGGCAACAGTGACGGGGGGGGAGAGACAGCTGCAAATTTTCATCCCTGCCCACGAACTCTCGGCGGATTACGACAAAATTCTTGGAGAATCCATCCCAACTCTGCTTCTGACAACTCGCCATCGACCCGCCCAGGACAAATGAGTTTACATTCTGCCCACGTCAGGTGCTGCCAACAGTAATTGCTGGAGATACTGCAGGATTCTGGCATGTGAAGACAGAACAACTTCAGTTCGAGCAACGCGGAATTTTGGTTTCGATTTCTGGTCTAATTTAGTTGGTTCGCCCTTGAAGATTTTGGGGCACGTAACAACTGGTTTCGTCATCGAATTTCCACACCGACACAATTCGCCTGGACTCTTCGCTCATCGCTCGTTTTCGGTGGGACTTAACACCCGGTTTTGTTTGTTTTCATCTCGGCGCAGCTGCTGGAACTTTTATGGTGTGTTTTCTTGGAGAAGGGGAGAAAGTGCTTCGCACTGTTCTTTCCTTGGCGTTTTCTTGGTCCTTTTCTGACTTTGTCAGGTTGCGTCAGCACGACGGACGACTACGATTGCTGCTTCACGATCAACGATCCCTACTCAATCGCGTTTGAATTCGCTGTCAAAATAGTAGGCACAAGTAGGAGCCATAGCTAGGTAAACCCTAGCTAGGCAAGAGAGAAACGAGCAAAGGAGGGGTTGCACTAGCAAGAATGGGGATACAAATAGCAAACCCTAGAAGGGTTGTACTCGCTATAGAGCACCCCACTACAGGCTAGAGCATAATATTCTGACACACCCCCATAGCCAAAGTGGGGTGTAATCAGCAGAGCAAGCAAAGCAGTACAAGCTCAGGGTGGATCACAATGTCACCACACATTCTGAGCACAAGTTCAAGAAGCAATAGTTTAAATTTCTCAATTATGAGCAAAGCTAGAGGTAGTCACAGAGGGCAAGTGAGGAGGAGGAGGGCTGGCGAGGGGAGAGAGGAGTGGAGGCGACGACTGAAGCTGCAGACACACGGGCAACAGACGGCTCTGGTGCAGCTCTAGTGGCTACCGGGAGCAAGGGCCCCGGAATACAGGAGTAACAGGCTCTGCGTCTGATCAGCAGCGACAGGAGCAACGGACCCACGGGCGACAGGTGCAACCGGCTCTCTGAGCTACCGGTGGCTATCAGAACCCCGGAATACAGGCGCTGCAGACGACACGACGGCTGCCTCCACCCAACCTCCTCCAACTGTCCCACACCCCCCAACACACACCCCCTGCTGCAACCCCTAACTCCACTCCCACGTCACCCCCCTAGCACCACTCCTTCGGCTCCCCACACACCCACCCCCCTGAGCGGCAGCTGCAGCAGTGGGAGACGGAGGAGGAGGAGGAGCAGGGGACGGCTCACACTCACGGCACCCCCATACCCTCCACCCCCAAACCCTAACACAGGAACGCGGGCAGTAGCGGGGGTGGGGCGCCGGCAGAAGCTCGGGGGACGGACGAGGCGCGCGCACGGGCCTGCCGCAGGCCGGACGAGGCGCGCGCGGGCTGCCCGGGCCGCGCGCGGGCCTGGCGCAGCCCGTACGAGCAGCGCGCGGGCCTGGCGCAGCCCGTACGGGCCGCGCGCGGGTCCCAGGGGCGCTTCGACGGGCGACGGGGGCGTTTCGACGGGCGACGGGGGGCGCTCCGACGGGCGACGGGG